AGACAGACAGACAGACAGACAGACAGACAGACAGACAGACAGACAGACAGACAGAAAAGAGGGAACACAAAGAAGTTGGACCAACCAGTAGTGCCCTCCAATCCCCCGGAGACGTTCACTTAATCATTTAGAAAAGAGGGAGGACACCACTGGTAAGTCCTTCTTCTTTTCTTTTTTTCTTTCTATTTTTCCGCTGCATTAAATGAGTGTTGTTCATGTTGTGTTGATGGGTTTCTCTCAATCAAACACAACAGGGAGACATTAAAGAGCGGATGGTTGGCGGGTGCTTTGGTGTGGTTTGCTCCTTCTTTCCTGTCAAAGATCAATAATTGTCCCTATTTCGCCTCTATTTTTATGTGTTTGTTACTGTATGAAGCATCTGTCCTTCTTATATAAATCTTTCCTTCGTTTTTGTGTTTGTTACTCTCTTGTAACACCTCTAATCTTCGGCGCTTATAATGCTTTTTTGTGTTGTGAGTGCCAGAAAACTCTTATTTAAACTAAGACAGGATTCAAGGAATGTGCATGCTTCCTACCGCGCGATGTCTCCACCCCTCCCCCTCTCTCTCATTCTCTCTCGTTCTCTCTCTCTCTCACTCTCTCTCTCTCTCTCTCTCTCTCGGTCTCTGTTCTCTCTCTCTGTTCTCTCTCTCTCACTTTCTCTCTTTCTCCCCCGCTTCGCATTCTCTCTCAGAACTATACGTCTTTGACTTTTTCTTTCAACGCGTTATAATTGGTAATGAGATAATTGTGCAATTTCCTGCTTTAAGATATTATGTTCAAAAGTTGAGACATATGTTGACTCTGTGGAGGAAAGACTGCGTGAGTGAAAGCTCCAAATGAAGGGGAAAAGTGTTAAAGGTAATTTGGGAGATGGGAATAGTTTAACATTGGGAGGGAGGGGGAAAATACCGGAACAGTCCACCCTAGCGTTGTAGAGCAGTTTGTAATAATATTATGTCATGGTAATAAACCACGTCCTGTTTCCATTCTTAATTTTGGTGGGTGGTTTGCGGGTAGTTGTCGGGCTCTGTAGTGTGATGTTTGCTCCTACTTTCCTATCAAACATCTATCGTTCTTATCTCTCCTCCTTTTTTTGAACCGTTACGTATGTTACTCTCCAGTAATACATCTAATCTTCGGCATTGTATGACCTATTTTTGTTGCAACTACCGCAACACTCGTACGTAAACGAAACAATTCATGACAGTGTACCTGTTATACCGCATTTTCTCTCACACTTGGTAGAATGCCGACTCAAAAGTCCCCCCTCC